AGAGCGGGATGGTGCATTATGTTGGAGGGGTGGAGTTTGCCAAAGGCATCTGGGTTGGAGTGGAATTGGACCTTGCTGTAGGTAGGCAAACTCTTCTGTTGCACTCTAAGGCTGAATTTTAAGAAAGTCTGTGAACTTCTTGTAACAATTTTTTTTAATTTTTCCCAAAGGTAAACACAATGGGACGGTCAAGGGAAGGGTGTACTTCCGATGTGCCACAGGTCATGGAGTCTTTGTAAAGCCATCCCGTTTGACTCGAGGACCTCCGTCCATTGACACCGAATCTCAACATGTGTTCCAGTAGGGGCCGGGCAATGACCCAATAGTTGGTACACTAAAAAAAAAAAAAAAAAAAAGTTGACTCAACTTAAATTTGTAAGGCAACTTGCTGCACAGCTTTTTTTTGTTGTTGACTCAACTTTTAACTTTTAAGTACAGCACTTGATTCTATTTATATTGATTAAAACTCAAACAACTTGCCAGCACATTGCCTTACAATTATAAGTTGAGTCAGCTTTTTTCTTTTCTTTTTCTACAGTGTAGACCAGAGGTGCCCAAACTCGGACCTGGAGGGCCGATGTCCTACAATTCCTTCAACACAGCTTCCTAGAAGCTTCTAGTATACCTAGAAAGAGCTTGATTAGCTGTTGTGTTTAACTAGGGTTGCAACTAAACTTTGCTGGACTCCGGCCCTCCAGGACTGAGTTTGGGCTCCCATGGTGTAGACCAGGGGTCACCAATCCTGGTCCTGAAGGGCCGGTGTCCCTGCAGGGTTTAGCTCCATCTTCCCTCAACACACCTGCCTGGATGTTTCAAGTATACCTAGTAAGACCTTGATGAGCTTCTTTAGGTGTGTTTGCTTAGGGTTGGAGCTAAAATCTGCAGGACACCAGCCCTCCAGGAACAAGTTTGGTGACCACTGGTGTAGACGATCTCTTCAACACCAGCACCAGCAAACGCCTGGACAAACATGAGTGCTAACAGAATCCATCCTTTGTTTGTCAACATCAGAGACTTGCTGATACCCTTCGTTCTGTGGCAATAAACCCTACCTGTGTGTGTGTTGTGTTGAAGTTCTAGATCTATTTCAGTGTCGTCTTTGAATGTCGAGAGTTGCACAGTTGCACAAACACGTTTTATATATATATCAAGTTAGCTTTGATATAGCTGAAATACTAACTTCAGTCTTGGTTTATTTACCACTTTCTTATATGACTAAATGCATTCATTAATTGACGACGCCTAACACTAGTATACTTTGAGTGAGCTTGAGATTTGGATGTCTGTTCTAGGTAAGAATGTACTACTGTTTATGACCTTTTTGCGTGATTATATCAGGTATTACCAAAGACATAGCCTTTCAAATCTGCTGTGCAAACGTACTTCTGTGTTTTACGCTTGTGTACTTTAATATTTGTTCGACTGATTTATGCTAATATGCTAAGTGCCATATTTCTGGTTGGAAGGCCACATGCCCATCGGTCGATTTTTCGAAGTTTTTATGGTATTGTGATCGGACGGCAAGCCTGTTGCTCATACCTTATTGCGTAATTGGCTTGTTGAGTACTGTAACTGTTGAAGGACTGCCAATATTTCTCTATACAGAGCTGTCTGAACGCTTGCACTGGAGTAACTTATCCTGGATGCACATTAAGTTACGTATCGCACGAACATTGACGCATTCTCAAATACTGATCTGACGCTTCTCAGGAGGTTGACCGAAAATGTCACCTAATGCGGAGAGCACCTTGTTTTCTTTATCGACTGGTCTGCTTTATATATCAGTAGTATATAGACCAGAAATGCCCTAAAGTACTGACATAAGCCCTGTTCATGAACGGGACCTTTTTAGAGAGTTGACTTTTAGGTTCACCCGCCTAATATTGAGCTTTTACATCCATGTGTGTTTGACTGTCGAGTAAGATTTTAATAGTTTGTGCTACTAAAGCCAATATTAATGTTTTTATAGGTATAAATGGGAGACGGGCAATATCGGGGGAATGGGACATAGCCTGAATAATACTAGTGTATTTAGTGCCATGACCAGTGCTGTTATTATTGCTCTGTTTTTTACCTGACCCACTGTGGATCTCATACTTTTGCTGTCATTGGTGATAGTAAAATAAAAAAAATCCCAAGACCTTACTTAAAAGAAAACAAAGCTGCTCTCCTTGACAAGGAGCTGTACATAAAATGTATGAACATAGTATTTACGATCTTATACGGTGTACAGAATTGTATTTATATTGTATCTCTGCAGATGTTGGTACAAATATGTTGTAGAATACAGAACGTTTACAAACATTTTGGTTTTTCTGTGTTGTGTGTGTGAACTATTATTGATTTCTGCTTAAAAATTACTGCTTGATGAAACCTTGAAACCTTTTGAATATTTTGTTTTGAATCCGTGGTATGGAGCACATATCAAATTGGTAAGTTTACATAATTTTAGTAAACAAGTCTTTGTTACATTATTAAGGCTGATTTTTACTTTTGTGTCAAACACACACACACGTATGGTCTGGCGCAGCCATCGCGCTGACGCACAGCCAGGGCCTAATTTGTGCCGGAACACGCCGGCACCTCATTTTACCGATATCCCTCCTCAACCGCCCTCCTCCCCCATCCCCTGTTCACTTTTACTCTCTTCTGCGACTCCCCAACCCTCTTCACTTTCATCCGTGACTTTCACTCATCCCCCCGCGCTCTTCACTTTCATCCGCGACAGCCCTCCGCCATACACCTCCAAACATCAGCCACCTCCCGTTCTCCACTTTCATGTGCAACACCTCGCCATCCTCGGGTAACATGCCAGATTCGTTACCCCGATCTGTTCGGAGACCTCGCAATTCACAATTAAGCCTTGCGCATAGCCCTCGCTATGGCTGACGCAGACACTGATGCGCACCTCTCCAAAAATGTAACCACACGTCACAACGGCGCATAGCACAAGCTCTGTGATTGGTCAGCTTGGTAGCGGTGACGAGTGTGGGCGGTGCTGAGAACCGCATGGCCCAAAGGATCGAGTGTTTACAGTTGCAGATTCCCGTGAAGGAGCTCCAGGTGGAAACTGTTGTTTTGGATTTACCTTAAAGTTGTTGCTCATTTGCCAGTGCCTGCTTCTGAATGAGCAATTTTTAGCTACATGTTCATTAAGGTAAAGTTCAGAAAAAAACAAAACAGCAGTGAAAAAACTCAACACAGAGGAACATAAACACCTACTTCCAGCAGTTTTACTATTTTGGAGATATTTTCGTGATGCATTTGTACAATGAAAAGAGATTATATTTGATTTATTAGTCTCTTGTTGCCCTGTTTAGCAGAACCCAATATGGAACAAGCAATATATAAGTCTTCAAAATTGATAAAATTATCCAAGTTATGCAGACATTTACTATTTAATGATATGAGACAGTAAGCTAAGTGCATTTATAAGTTATATGTCTAATTTAAAGTTCACAATATGTTTGGAAAAGACCATTCTAATGCATGTTTTGCCCGAGTATTGTTGCATTTACAAAGTTTTGACTACTAGGTGTCTTTAATATTTGGTGTTTCAAAAATGTTATAATTTTGTGAAGAAACAACCGTGTAAAACAACATCTGTTAATGAACAGTTTCTGTATTTAGTGATTCACAAGTGTTTATTTCCGGTTCTGAACGCATTATGGGATGTTGATCTCTGCTCTGTCCACTTTTTATGTTGAACATTCAACTCTACAGTTTAACAAAGTGGCTTTTATTGATGTTTTGGTTGTTTGAAATATTATAAGATATGACATCTAGAGGAAATAAGTCTTTAAAATAACAGAAAATGTTCTGCCAGTTTACTACAGGGTTTCTGTAGTGTAATAAACAACACCAACCCAGGCGTTATATCACTTAAAAAAAGGGCTCTCAAACTTAATTAGCGTTGTTGGGAGACGATCGCAAACTAAAGAGTGGGGTGGAGGGGTTAGGGTGTTGCGGGCCGGAGGGAGGAAGAAGGTCGGCAGTTTCAGACCCCTGCCTTAAACTAATAAAAATGTTCATAAAAGTCACTTTTTCACAAATTTTTCAAGGTTAAAAGTTGTTGGAAGCAAGATCAAGGTCATAAATAAATAAGGGGAAAAACATCAATCACAAATTATGGAAAACTGCTAATTTACGGATATTTTTTACAGTCAAGTTCAATTAGAAAAAGACACATTACATAGAAATAGTAGGTACATAAGTTATCACTGGGGTGGCACCAGGGTAAACTGACCTAAAAGGTCCATATTAATACCTCAAGGGTACATATTAGTACTTTAAAAAGTACAAAATGGATATTCTATTTATGCCAAGCCCTAAAACCCAATCCTCACAGTAATGTAAATACAGTCATTAGTATTATTCATATTATTTTTGATTAAATTACCCATTAAATTGTATTTTATTAATGTGTCTTTCCACCCCAATTCTATTCCCAAGCCTCACAGTGTTTAAAACAGTCATTATACAGAGTATTATTCATGTTATTTATTAAATTAACCATAAAATGTATTTTATTAACGTGTCTCCTCACCCCAATTACCAACCCTCACAATATTGTAAAAACATCCGTATATCGAGTATTATTCTTGTTATTTAATAAATTACCTATTCAATTGTATTTTCACCTTCACAGTATTGTAAAAACAGTCATTATACTGAGTATTATTCATATTATTTATAAATTACCCATTAATTGTATTTTATTAACATATACCCCACCCCAAACTCTTAACCCAACCATCACAGTAATGTAAAATATGTATTATTGTAGTACAGTGTCACAAAAATGATGCTCTATTGATGTATTGATGCCAGTGTGATATATATATATATATATATATATATATATATATATATATATATATATATATATATTCAGGTTGTGGGCGTGGTTATAATGACATGGGTGTGGCATATGGATTGTGGGCTGGATCGTAGGTGGGATAAACGTATTGCGGGCGTGGTTAAGACAGAACGTGGGCGGTGTATATCGTCTGTAGGCGTGGCCTGTGTCCGCGTGCGAGTCTCCAAAACCATATGGCATGTTGTTGAGTTTTGTCGCCCGACACATCAACTCGCTCGTTCACTTTCGCCTTCAAGGAGCAAGGAGTTTATTTTAAGTAGTCTTTTTGAAGTTTTTGAGGATGCACAGCTCTCAGAAGGACACCACATACACCAAGATCTTCGTCGGAGGTCTTCCTTATCACACCACAGACTCCAGCCTCAGGAAATACTTCGAGGTGTTTGGAGAAATCGAGGAGGCAGTGGTTATTACTGACAGGCAGACTGGCAAATCCAGAGGATACGGCTTTGTAAGTCTGTCAACAGCTGAAATAAAAAAAATACTATAGTATTTGCTGTAAAATACTATTGTGTTTTTGAATAATTTCATAGTAAAGTACCTGAATATCAACTAGTTGCTGCGATTTTATAGTTGCTATGGTGAATACATTACTAGCCTATTAGCAGTAAACAAATTAACTAGCCTGTATACGTTATTTTTAACCTTTTATCTTTCTTTCTATACCTTTCAGATCTTGTAAGTCAGTGTGTTTTAAAATGTGTGTAAACTATTTACTGATGTCTGCTGCTATTAAATGACCGGGGGCCAGGCAGGGGCCACTTGTACTTTTAGGGGGCACACTATAACATCTCAAACCACTTCAACAATTATTCGAAGTACATTTTTTCATGCTATTCCCTTCATAAACCAGCTAATTAAATTAACTTAAACTCAAAATAATATTCCATTTTCATTTATAATTAATTTATAGTTGCTATGGGGAATACACTACTAGCTTATTAGCAGTAAACAAATTAACTAACGTTATAGCCTATAGTAATAAAGAAATTACTGGAGACTGGGTGATAAGTTAGTTAGTAGTATAAACCTTTTTTAACTTTCTCTATCTTTGAGATACTGGTGTCTGCTGCTCTTAAATGACATCGGTATTCTCTCTACAGGAGTAGTGAAATGTCACCCCATAGTCTGGGTTAGTTGTAACAAACATATTGAGGTAAAATTGGTTTTATATTCACAAATTAGTTCGGTGACATCTTGTGACATGCTCGCTATATTGTCTAACATGGTACTTTTTGTATTTTAACTTAACTTTACTGCCTTTATTGTCTACTAGTGTGAATTTATCTTTGGCTTCAGCACACACTTACATTAGGTTTCACATCAGTTCTAGACCTGAGTGACTGGTGGGGCCGGACAGGGGCCACTTGTAATTTTAGGGGGCACACTTGAACATGCATAACAAACTACTCAATTATTCAAAGTCATTTTTTTCATGCATCACTCTGCAGTCTTCATAAACGAGCTAAATAAATCACTTAAAATAATCTTCTATGTTTATATTTCTTGACAAGTGATTTTGTATTGTAGTAGGTTAACACATTTTTAACATCCAAGTACATCAAGGCACATTTTTACACCTGTAAACTTTAACAGATCCAGTTGTAGTCAATTTATTTTGCCCTCCCATTAATTTAATACAATGTTTCCCAAGTGATCTATAACAAAACGAGGAGATTTTCATAGTATTTCCTATGAAACAAAACTAATTCTTCTCGAGTCATATTAAGTCTTATTTCTTATAGTTTGTCTTGAATAAAAGCAGTTTTACATTTTTTAAAGAACAATTTTAAGGTCTGTATGATTATTAGCCTCAAGAAATATTTAAATTTTTTGATTGTCTACAAAACAAACCAGTTATACAATAACTTGACTAGTTATTTCAACTTTCCTAGTTAACATAACCTAGTTAATCTGAATACTTCATTTAATCTGAACTCTCTTGCAAAATAACTAGTAAAATATTATGCACTCACTGTCACCATGAGAAAGACAAAAGTAGCTATTAGAAATTAGTTAAACTATTAAGTTTTAAGAATGTGTTGTAAATAAATCATGTGTTGAAGACTCGTGCTTCATGTCACAACTAAAAGCAAAAATAAATAAAGGCAAAACTAAATGAGCTGAATATGACTTACATGAGCGTGACTGAAAACTACATTTAATCAATGTTTTACATCTGTTCTCCGGTACTTGCAGGCTGTTTGTAAATTCAAGACTGCATTTCCTAACGTAAAATGATGTACACTCAAAATCAGATTAATAATAGCCTATGCATAGCCGAGGATGTCCTATATTAAATGTTTTGAAATCGCAATTGGAAACAAAAGTTGAATATTATCAACAGTGGACGTTTTGATAGCTTTTCACAACATGAACATGACTGAAGTTGAATTTTTTTACTACCTGTGTCAATTTGGGGCTTAATTTCTAACAAATGTGGGAAACTGATGTGCGCTGCACCGTCACTGAAAAAAGTCAAGCAAAAGCAAAGAGAGCAAGACACCGAGAGCATGCGAGAGAGGTCTCAGTCATATCTCGACAGTCTGCTACTTGATGGCTAATCTCGTATCTCTGTGGCATTTTAGCTGTGACACAAAAATATGCGTCCAAATTAGAGCAGCTAATTAGAGAATTCTGGCTAAAATTAGACTTTTTTTAATTATTTATTTATTTATTTTTATTTTTTTGCGTAAAATAAAGATCAGGATTTTATCACAATTCTGTAGATGTAAAATAAAGGTTAATATGATTCTGCGATTATTATTGTTTTTTCTCAAACACATGGTAAAACAACAATAAGAATATTAAAGCTGCAAGCAGCGATGAAAGGGACCTCGCACCCGGGCTCACCACCGCACGGTGGTCTCAGGATGACCAAGAACAGCGAACAACATTAATTTAAGCCAATATATATAAAGAACCTGAGAAAATCACAGATTTATGCCAAACTTCCTTCTGTCAGCAGGTGGCGCTATAACTGTGACTCAAGATTGGCATGTAGATGCCTTCAGTAGAGGAATGTTATTAACCATGTGAATTTTCAGGCAGATCGGACATTGTTTGGCTGAGTTATAATAACTTCCTGTTTCGTGGCAAATCGTCGAAGTTTGCGAGGCAGCCACGGACACGCCCCTCTACGAAAACTCTAGATCTTCGCAATTTAACACCACCATGCCTTAGATGAAAAAAGCCAATTTTGGTGTTGATCGGATAAAATCCCTTGGAGGAGTTCGTTAAAATACAACGCCTGGAAATGGCAAAAACACCACTTTTTCGCTGCAGAAAGTCAAAAATATTTGACTTCCTGTTGGGTTTGAGATTCTGCTCCAAGAGACTTTTTTGAAGGTTTTGTTGTGTTTGAGGTGTGTGCCAATTTTCATGTACGTGCGTGATTCGTAGCTCGGGGGCCAGTCTGTCAAATGTGCATAGGTGGCGCTGTCGAGTCATTTTGCCACGCCCACTTCCGAAACCCATAACAAATGTACATTTTTGCGACTTCTGAGGCGTGTGCAAAGTTTCGTGAGTTTTCGGGCATGTTTAGCCCCTCAAAATCGCGATTCATTGGGAGAAGAAGAAAAAGAAGAATAAGAAACAGAGCAATTCCAATAGGGCCTACGCACCATTCCGGTGCTCTGTCCCTAATAATAATAATAATAACAATAGTAATAATAATAATAATAATAATAATAATAATAATAAAAACTGAGCAATTCCAATAGGGCCTACGCACCATTCCGGTGCTCTGTCCCTAATAATAATAATAATAACAATAGTAATACTAATAATAATAATAATAATAAAAAACTGAGCAATTTCAATAGGACCTACGCACCATTCCGGTACTCGGTCCCTAATAATAATAATAATATTAACAATAATAATAAAAATAATAATAATAAAAAACGAAGCAATTCCAATAGGGCCTACGCACCATTCCGGTGCTCTGTCCCTAATAATAATAATAATAACAATAGTAATAATAATAATAATAATAATAAAAACTGAGCAATTCCAATAGGGCCTACGCACCATTCCGGTGCTCTGTCCCTAATAATAATAATAATAACAATAGTAATAATAATAATAATAATAATAAAAAACTGAGCAATTTCAATAGGACCTACGCACCATTCCGGTACTCGGTCCCTAATAATAATAATAATATTAACAATAATAATAAAAATAATAATAATAAAAAACGAAGCAATTCCAATAGGGCCTACGCACCATTCCGGTACTCGGTCCCTAATAATAATAATAATAACAATAATAATAATAATAATAAAAAACTGAGCAATTTCAATAGGACCTACGCACCCTACGTTTTGGTGCTCGGCCCCTAATTATGTGTAGGTCTACTGGTTTCTATAAATATTCTACTTATAATAATTCTGATGTTGAATTATGTTTCAGATATAGGCCTATGCTTGCAATCTGTCACTGACAACATTATTAGACCATTTAATTGACGGGTAAAATCAACATTATACAGGCTAGAGTAGTTATACTGACACTGTAAACATTTATTTTCATGCACAACTGTGTGTTCGCTATGAAAGAAAAAACATATCAAATGCTTGCCGCAATCATAACTCTAAAACGCGATATGATTATTTAAATGATGTGCATGCTTTCAGTTTCATTTTCACTGCTAAGTGCTGTTCATACTTCACGCGCGGCTCCCAAATGATCACTCTGTGCCACAAACTGAATATTATTTACAACTTTATTACCTGCTACTCACAGCCTATGCCGGTTCTGTTCACTAAAGTAGACGCGCGCACGTCTATCATTTAGTAGGGCGCGCGCCCTCTATGTGGTAACAGCTCACGGTCAGCAGCTCACATCACGTGTGATTTTCCGGCCGCGAAAACAGCATTATATGAATACAAAAATGACATTTTAAGGTGAATTATACCTTATAAATACTGTATGTGACTCATTCAACATCATTTGGAGGTGTCCATGTCACTGAGCAATGTATGTGAAAGAATGAAAAGACTCGTACAGCCGCCTTTTCCTCTCTCCTGAACTTGAAAATATGATTGTAGAATCGTAGAAATGCTGGATTAGGATCGTCTAGGGGTCAAATCGAGATCGCGATCCTTTTAATGATTAATTGTGCAGCTCTAGTCCAAATTTAGGGGGTGGCCAGAGGGGGGCCTAGCTTGTTGACACGAGGGCAGCTGCTTGGGCAAAAAAGTGCTACATCATTGCACTAAGTAGACAATACAATAAATAAAACAAACAAAACAGTTAAGAACAAACAATTAAGAACATACATTGTGTACAGAATAAGACTGCATATAAATATAAAATATAGAAAGCACAGCACATAGTCAGGTGCTAATGTAGTAATGTTATGCCATTAGCACTATTTAATTGACTGTGAATAATGCTGTACTCTGATAGTCATTGGCTCCTTATATAATCTCACGGTCGTGAATTTGCAAAGAATATTGTTGTGAAATAATTGTTAAAGAGAAAGTCTAAACGTGGGAATAAAAAACTAACTGTACCTCAATAGGTAAAGCTGATGTTATATTTGCACATTCAGACTTTCTCCTTTATACTGTAATTTTAGAAAAGTATCATTTGCAACTTTTCACAGCTTATAAATAATATCTTCTGGAGAAATTTTTATTTTGGCTAGAATAAAAGCAGTTTATTAGCTACCTAATATTATTAGCAATATTAGTTTTGGATTGTCTCCAGAACAAACCACTGTTATACAATGACTTGCCTAATTACCCTAACTTTACCCTAATTACCCTAGTTAAGCCTTTACATGTCACTTTAAGCTGAACACTAGTGTCTTGAAGAATATCTAGTCTAATATTATTTACTGTCATCATGAGAGAGAGAAAATAAATCAGTTATTAGAAATTAGTTAACACTATTATGATTAGAAATGTGTTGAAGAAATCTGCTCTCCTTTAAACAGAAATTGGGGGTAAAAATATACCGCAGGGCTAATAATTCTGATGTTAACTGTATATAAGAGCATGACTAAATCATTTTATCTTTATGTTTTTTTCTGGTGTTCAGGTGACGATGGCTGATCGGTCTGCAGCAGAAAGAGCCTGTAAGGACCCGAATCCTATAATAGATGGCAGAAAAGCCAACGTAAACCTGGCATATTTGGGGGCAAAACCACGGATCCTGCAGCCAGGTAAATAACGTCAAAATAAGACAAATCCTTGAGAGTTTTTTTATTGTAAGGGTGGCACAGAGGCTCAGTGGTTGGCACTGTTGCCTCACAGTAAAAAGGTCCCTGATTTGAGTCCTGGCTTTGCCAGTTGGCGTTTCTGTGTGGAGTTTGCATGTTCTCCCTGTGTTGGCGTGGGTTTCCTCCGGGTGCTCCGGTTTCCCCCACAGTTCCAACACATGCGCTATAGAGGAGTTGATCAACTGAATTGGTCATAATGCTGATTCATGTTTGGAGGAGTACATTATTCTCAACATGGATTTCATTTATTCATTCATTTTCTTGTCGGCTTAATCCCTTTATTAATCCGGGGTCACCACAGCGGAATGAACCGCCAACTTATCCAGCAAGTCTTTACGCAGCGGATGCTCCTCCAGCCGCAACCCATCCCTGGGAAAAATCTACACACACACTACAGACAATTTAGCTTACCCAATTCACCTGTACCGCATGTCTTTGGACTGTGGGGGAAACATGAGCACCCGGAGGAAACCCACGCGAACGCAGGGAGAACATGCAAACTCCACACAGAAATGCCAACTGAGCCGAGGCTCGAACCAGCGACCCATCGACCTTCTTGCTGTGGGGCGACAGCACTACCTACTGCGCCACTGCTTCGCCCAACATGGATTTTTAAATGGTAAATCCTTGAGAATTGACAGGGTGAATATAGTAGTACATGCAAATGTTTAACACCAGGATTATTTATGATATGCAATATATAAAAATACATGCACTCTTGAAAGTTTAGCAATGACAAAATTCAACAACAAGCTTTAGGCCCAATCCCAATTCTACCCCTTAGTCCTTCCCCTTACCCCTACCCTTCGTTTTGCTCGTGCATGCCAAGGGGTAAGGCTGTCCCAATTCTCTTTAGCCTGAAGGCGAAGGGCTAAGGGGAAGGGGTGAATAGCCCTTCTAGTGAATATTTTTTAGGATCACACTCAAAACCAAGGGGTAAGAAAATTTCCCAGAATACACCAGCCACAAAGGAAGTATTGATGAACCCGGAAGTCAGGAGATCCACAAATTAGTATTTGTTTGTCATCATTACGAATTTTTACGACAAACAAACACATGTTTATATATATTCATAACCGCGTTCGTATTTTACCCTCATGGTTTTTTTAAAAAACGCAAAAAAAAAAAAAAATGCTAAATTTTGTGATGTATAATCCCTAATCATAACTCCTGTACAGCAGCTCCACAACATTCTGACACTGGATGACACTGGAATACCCTGTCAGTAAAGTCCAGTGTCTGTGAATTGAACAGTGTCTGCTATAATGTTAATGCTGTTTTCGTGTGTTTATACAGATGAATATGGCCACCGTGTTAAAAACACAGTGGAGTTATGATCTTATTGCCACATTAGATCATTATGATAACATAATATAAGCCTTCAGTGATTTCCTGAAGATTAATACCAAAAAATAACACAACTGCAATAACTCCAGCAGTCGCCATCATCTGATCTCATATGAAGCAAGAGATGGTGAGGACATATGATGAGGTGTGCATCTGCTGTAGTGCTGGCCCAATTCTTAAGGGTCAATTTTGAAGCCCTTCCCCTTCATCCGCGGTTGTAAGGGTACAAAAATAGAATTGGGATTGGGCCTTAGTTAATGTGCCAATTATGGTCATTGCATGGGATTTTCTTTTATAATATTAAAATGAAATATAATATAAAATGAGCTCGTCTTTTTCCTTCAGGATTTTCTTTTGGAGTTCCTCAGATACACCCTACGTTTCTTCAGCGGCCTTATGGGTGAGTTTGACAGCTACTGATGACTTTAGTGTTTAGTTTCCTTAATTTTCGTTTACTTTCTCTTATTTAAAACATATTATTTCAAATTTCTGTCATCTAATTTTTACCATTTTCGTTTTGAAAAGGTGATTATTTTTGTCTTTAATGCTTTCATGTGTCAGACTAAATGTGTTTTAAGCTGTGTTTTGATATGTTAACAAAAACTAAATCTATAGTTTTTAGTAAAGGAGCAAAATTTGCAAATACTTTAAGACTTTATCAGTGTTTTTTTTTACAATTACTCTTGAAGACATGTAAAATATATCTCATGATCAGTGAGCAAGTATTTATTCTTTGGTTTCATTTAAACGTACTGCAAAAATCATATACTGTACATTTAGAGTTTTTTGCCATCTAAAATGACTGATTCTGTGGTGGTTTTTCTCAAAAATTGCAGTAATATTTGCAAAATTTGTTGCATACATTTGCACATAATATACACAGACAACAATATTGTAAAATTAAATAACTTTTTAGATCTCATGAACCATTGGGATTTGTATTTTTATATGTAGAGAAACGTACTGTCAAAAGTATTTTATTTTGATTGATTTATTTTTACAGACAGTTTTTTGTTTATAAAAAAGTATTTAATTAAGATTTATTATTAATTTATTATTATTAGTAATAATTTATTAACAATTTATATGAAGTAACATTTATGGTAACACTTTAAAATAATGCTCCATAAGTTAATGTTTTCCCAGAGATGGGTTGCGGCTGGGAGGGCATCCTCTGCGTAAAAACATGCTGGATAAGTTGGCGGTTCATTCCGCTGTGGCCACCCCGGATTAATAAAGGGACTAAACCAAAAAGAAAATAAATTTAGTTAATGTTATATATATTAGATATATTAGACATAATCCGTTGCATAATAATATCATCATTGTATTCATTTTTTTGGTAAAATCTTTATTTACGTTACATATGTGAGCATGGGTCACGAGTTAACACGACTCCTAAGACACAGGTACACATGAGTCTACAACTAAGAAAAAACATGGTTTGCGCAACTGATGAAGCATCGTTTAGTCATTGAGAGCTATTCTATCAGCGGGAGAGTTTGTAGAAACACGTTAACGCGAGTACAGGTAACTAAACAACATGTAAACATGTTAACATCGATGGAAACATGTCAACACGGGTCCACAACCACAGCAAAGCATGTTTTGATTGACTGTGTAATTCTGAGTAGCTCAGTTAGATAAGTTGATTGATGCGTGAGCTGAGCCTTTTCACTACACGGGTTCAAATCCTGTTGAAGGCGTAAATTCTAATTATTTTTTAGATTTATTTTGGTTATGTACTGTTCTGCTACACAGATATTAAAATCAATAATGCACACAATGACACTGACACCAAGTAATAAGAATCTTTATTTGGTATGGACATGTTTTGTTGCTGTTAAAAAGTGACGAATCTGCCAATCTGCAAACGTGAATAGCTTACATCTGGAAAGGGACACTAGTTAACACGGTCACCAGTTAAACCGTAACACCGGAACAAATTGCTCCGGGACTGAGTTTGGCCCACGGGCCACTAATTTATTAGCCCTGCCATAAAATAACTTAATAAAAAAAGCTGCATGCATGTTATATAGTCAAGTAGAAAGGAATTATCATATCATATATCACCTTTGTTACAAAATATCCCATTGTCATTAGTGTGTATTTCTGTCTCATATTGTTCTTCTTGTTGCAGAGACAGCGAGGATGATCATTCTCCATTACTGTATCCTCCTCCTTTCCGCCAGGTCATGAGGTGTGTGTTTGCGTGTGTGTGTGTTTCTTTCCTGTACACTCTTCATCTGTGTATTCCTGTCAATGTAACGTGTCTCTCTCTGATCTGACAGGCTTTGGGTTAACATTACCTAAGAGAGGTCAACCAGTCAGAAATCAAAAGTAGACTCAGACACGTACTCTCTCAAAGACACGGTGATTAGTTTGCATGGACGTTGGTGTTTTGTTTTGTTTTTTTGGTTGGAGAGTAGCTCTTGTGTGCGTTTGGACCTGTCTGAAGTGCTTTTCCTAGCTAAACCGTGTGCTTTTTATTTGAATAGGAGTGGGTGTATGGTAGGACGTGGGGTTGGTGGGTGCTGGAAACGTCTCGTTCTCCATTTGATGATTGTGCACAGCTTGATTTGTACTGTTTTGTTAGTCTTTTGAACAGGGGTTTCAGTGTTTTTGGTGTTGAAGGGCGCCAACCAAACAACTCACAGCTTGCATGTTGCAGTGGATCTCATGTGTTCTTTGGTTTTTACTAATGAATCCTTTGTATTTTTCTCATTGTTGTAAAATTTGCAGGTATTTCGGCGACAATTCTGTATGTTAAAAGACACCTAGTTTACCCCTTTTTTAAGATTTAATATTGATATTATGGTTCTTCTGAGTGTGCCAGTTTAGGTTCAGTTCAACACACAGATTTGTTTATTATAATGTGTTAAACAGTGTTATTTTATTTATTTATTTATTTATTTTGAGGGGGGGAGGGTACACAGCTCGCTGTTTTAGGGGTGTGTTGAAATTAAATAAAATTAGTTTCAAATTCCCGCCCAACATAACAAGGGGGTGGAGCCAAGAGCTCCCCCGCTCTGTGTTTGGCAACAGACAGGCAGACAGAGAGGATCAGCATTCAGCTGTACATGCACGACCCGGACACAGACCAAGCAGAGAGTACACAATCATTTGTGTCTGTATAGTTTTACAGCCAACTGTGTGCTAGTTTAAAGTGCCGAGCTTGTACACAGAGACTAATAACCACACACACTGAATTAAAGGGCCATGTAACCCCCTCGTTTCAGCAGGGTGTTTTCACACCTCTACTTTGGAAAAAGTCAGAAAAGTGGGCGTGTCCAGCTCTGTTTAGGGGGGAGTGTCGGAGGAACTAAAGTGGGATGGTGTGGGAGTGTCTATTTGGGCACGCGCGAGTTTCAGAGTCAAAATAAACACAGGATAAAGTGATGGTGTTTAACCTACATGGACATCTGTAGTCGAATTATTTGCCAAATTATTAAATGTTGGACTTTAACTGCAGTTTGGCTCTTTCATTCAGGGAATTCATTCATGCCCCTCGCGACAAACGAGATATTTGATTCGAGGAGCTGCTCTAAGCGTGTATTTTTCATGCAATGTTTGATACCGCACGGCGAATGAGAGAAAAAAAAACTCTGCATTTCCCGGAAACTTAGATGCACACGGCAGGTAGCGTCAGAAAGCCGCGTGTGTTATTCTGGTCACAAAATGCAGTGAAAATCCTACACGAGGTTAAAGTTTGGTTGTGGTGCTAACATGTTTACACTCAGTGCAATAGTTAACTTAGTTCGATACGAACAAACTGAATAAACAACCAGGGCACTGGTCGCTCACTTACCAAATCTGTAGAGACAGGACAATCACCAGCAACTAGAGCCACGTCTTTATTAAGAGGAGACTACAAGCGAATCCAGATCTCAGCGTTTGCAGATGAGAACAGCTCTCAGGTAAACAATAATCCTCCTTAGACACGTAAGTTATTGTTGTCGAGCGTCGCGTACACTGTTAATCCACACGTGACTCCAGCTGAGCTCTCACAGAGAGAAAATGAAAACAAAACTGAACTGCAGCAAACTATAAAAGCAACACTTCACGCTTGTTTTGCCAACACAACGTGGCGTCTCTGTCGTCTAAACACTGTGACAGTAATGAATATTAATGAAGTTGCACAATAGAGCGCGCTGATTGGTTTAAACCAAGCTTTACTCATGCATTAATGCAGCACACTGTAAGACGTAATAAGACTCACTCTGGCACAGACGTCCAGTCTGTACGCTGGAATACACGCTATTATATCATGGCCGTGACGCAGCTTCAAAAATTCGTTTCAAACTGGAAGTACGAATTTACTTGAAATAACACAAAAACAACCAATTTACACTTTTTAGTGAAATATAGGTGTCCTAATAGTGTTTTTAGCTGTGTGGGACACATATACGACTGTCAACAGCTCAACACATGTGTTTTGGTGTTTCGTGACCCTTTAACTTCGATTGAGGCACTGGATGCGCCGCTCAGAGCCTCGACACTGCACACCAGACACGCACATTCGCTTGTTCTTTAAAATGAAACTATTCAGATGGCGCTCTGTGGCGCAACAGAAATATGAACAGTGTCCCGAATCATGGCTGGGCGCCGCAGACAGCTGCCGACTTGAAACGCCGTTGTGTGTACCCTGATAGAAACCTATGCTTAGAATTCTAAAATGCATGGTGCTGTGCATCGCCAAACGGCGCTTCTGGTGTGCGACCTGCAGGCAAGTTCGTTATATTATTTCCAATGGTGCGACACTCACGGGAGGCAGCGCGCTCGCACTTTCCAGCTGCACCTAGTTAAGATCACAGGGAGCTTCTGTGACCGCGAAAAATGCAAATAGCCGACCCTGTCTACTTCTTTCCACAACATCGACGAACATTATTACAGTTACAAACAACAATTCTGCTTAGAGCAATCATGTGGTGAATGTTGATCTTGTGTTGAGCCCGATGAGCCTTACATCTAAAAACAAAGGTGTTCCTTGGGATATCGCTTTGACTCACATGCTGAAAATGACAGATGTGAAACAACAAACTGAGCATATGGTGACACACGCCTGTCAATCAATATTGGTAGGCGGGGGGATCGCACTCCTACCTCAAGTTGCAGTCGATCTAAAAACCGTTCCAATTGGTCCACCGTTTTATGTTGTTAAATTGAAAAAAGGTGTGTTTATATCAGCCCAATATGACGGTCTGTACACTATATCTACACATGTCTGTCCAAACAGCTTGAAAAGTAGATTTTTCACTAAAGGTGCTCTTTAAGTCTTAGAAGGGACTTTTAATAGAGTGTAAAATGCTTATTGATCCGCTAACAAGCATAATAATACACCTCAAACACAAATATTGGGCAAATTAATCATTCTGTTATTATTGAATTGCACTATGCATTGCAGTTATGCTGTCAGTAATTGGCCTACACATTTCATACAAGCTTTGCATTACAGTTGCGTCATACATGGCACAATTACCTTACACATACATGTACGGTAGTATTGGATTGCATATATTTATGCATTTAAGCAATGCATTGTATATCTTTACACATTGACGCATTGCCTTTCATGTCATTACTAACTAAAGCGCTGCTTTACATACCATTACATGTTATATATGGCGATGTAAATTCAGCAGTTGCGTCATGCATTGCAAACAAACATTGCACTACATTGTCATTACACAATAAAGCATTGTATATCTTTATGAATTAAACAATTTCATCATACAATCATTACACAATAAAGCAATGCATTGCATATGGCAATGCAAATTCAACAGTTGGATAATGCATTGCATTGGGAATTCAAACAAACATTGCATCACGCTCTAAAGCATAAAGCATTATGCCCTGGATTATTTTATTTGGCACTATAAATATTACTTTATTTCGCATTGCACCAATGCATTGAAGCTCATTTTATTCACCATTTCATTATGCATTGGGTTGGTAATACATTTCAGAATGCATATAATATTATATAATGCATATAATACACATCAACGTGTGACAGCAGAAAGATTTCGATCATGCGCTGATGTAAACAATATTCTTGACTGTGATAAAACTGTATTTTATCTTTTTCTAGGAAGATTCAGCGAACTCCTACTAATACCTCAGTGGGCTGAAAAATATGGATTGATTCGCTAACAAGCATAATAATACATCTCAAACACAAATATTGGGAAAAACGGAGCATTACAATTAAATTCATTTGTCAGTGCGTTGCATTATGCTGCTAATAACTGCACTATACACACTGCATACAAGCATTCTACTATGTGACCCATTACAAATTGTGCTGTGCATTGCATCATATTCAAACATGCATTGCATATCATTATGCATTAAAGCATTGCATTACATATCATCACACATTACACTCTGTTACATATAGTATTATGCACTGAATTATTTCATTTCGCACTACACTACGCATTGCACAAATGCATTGAAGCATTATTGTATTCAGCATTGCATTATGCATTGCTATAGTTATACACATAATACATGTCAGTATACGTATAATAATACATAATACATACAGTTGAAATCAGAATATTAGCCCCCCTGTATATTTTCTTCCCTAATTTCTTTTTAACAGAGATTTTTTTTCAACACATTTCTGCACATAATAGTTTTAATAACTCCTTTCTAATGACTGATTTATTTTCTCTTTGCCATGATGACAGTAAATAATATTAAACTAGATATTCTCCAAGACACTTCTATACAGCTTTAAGTGACACTTAAAGGCTTCACTAGGGTAATTAGGGTAAAGTTAGGGTAATTAGGCAAGTCATTGTATAACAGTGGTTTGTTCTGGAAATCCAAAACTAATATTGCTTAAAGGGGCGAATAATTTTGACCTTAAAATGAGTTTGAGAACAACTAGGAACTGCTTTTATTCTAGCTGAAATAAACCAAATAAGAAAAAAATATTATAGGAAATACTGTGAACAATTCCTGAATCTGTTCAACATCATTTGGGGAATACCTGAAATAGAAAAAAATGTCACAGCAGGGTGAATAATTTTGACTGTATATACATGTAATACATATCAACATGTGATAGTTGAAAGTGTTTGATCATGCTCTGATCAGCAGTATTTATCTACATCTTTCTATTGACTGATCTGATAGACGGTTACTTCTGTCCTTCTAGGAAGATTCAGTGAACTCCTACTAATCCCTCAGTGGACTGAACTAATAGAACAGCTGCAGTGCTGAAACACAGCGGCATTCAGAGCCTTCAGGAGACGACAGGTGTTCAGAGACACCGGAGATCAGCCCACTGTTTCTGGGATTTGCAAAGTTCCTTAAATTAGCCCTGAACTCTGGCAAGCCCCAAATGTTCAGGACATGATGAAGGAAAATATGTTGCCGTCGCAGCTTAGTAACTCTGGGGTATTTTTAACAATGACAAGCTCAGGGTTAGACTGCCTTTTAGCCCAAGTTCATATTTATATATGCAGTGTTAATTCTCATCTGGGCTGTATTTCTGCACTGAAGTAGGGCTTGGTAGGATCTCTAAAATACGTTATGAAAATCAGTTATAGTAGTTATGGAAAGTTATTTAGACCACAGAACTTTTAAAAAAATGTTTTTTTTAATTGGCAAGTTTTTTTGCAAAATCTAAATTCAGATTAAGAACAGAAATGTGAATTCCAAGACAAAGAATTTGAGGAAAAATGTCAGAATTGCAGGTAGGGATGTAACGATTAACCTGACTCATGATGCAATCCGATTCACGATATTAATCTCATCATCTAATCACAACAGATGTCACAGTATAGTTGAACATCGCTCAACATCGAGAAATTCTGCGCTCGCTGATGTAACGTTAACTTACATTATGCTCATTATCCTCGGCCCGTTCTTGATTGTGATTTTGTAAAATGTCTAATAAACACAGCGAAAATGGACCTCAATAATATGGAGTCAGAAAAGACTCAAAAGTAATTCATGCAAAAGATACGATGTACACATGCGTAGCCAAATTCACATGCATAAAATCAAATTCACGTGCGTAAAATATTTATTTATATTCACACAAAAAATTCACGTGCACAAAATAAAAATACATTTTCATGAAATGCGTTTCACAAATGCAAAACACCATTTGCAAATGTATAAGAGTGTACAAAGAGTTTTGAATGTTTAAAACTTGCGAGTTCATCCTGAATGAGAATGTGCAAATCCTCTTTCACGTATGACTCCCCCTGGATACGTGTGTGTGTGTGTATTTTTGAGACTCTCCTGGCAGAGTCAGGGTAACTCGTACCTTTCAGCCAATCAGATGAGAACTGTAGTCGATGACACCCACTCTGTGCTCCATTTGCGCAGACTGTTCCTCTCCAGCATGGCGTACGAAGAAAGTCGCAGTCGCACTTTTTTTACATTGATTTATTTATTTGACCTTAGCCTCACTCTTTTTATCCATTATTTTGCAGCAGCTCAGCTCTTCTTATTTATTGTCTCGCAGCCCGATGAGCAAAATGTAGCCTGCAGGATGATGATGTGGATTAAGTATCATTCTGGCCACACAATCGTAAAATTAAACCCTAAAGTTAAACCTTAATTAAACGCCAACTGACCCAGCCGGCCCTCGAACCAGCGACCTTCTTGCTGTGAGGTCACAATTCTGAGAAAAGTGTCTGAATTGTAAGACATGAACTCATGAGAAAAAAGACATAATTGTGAGATCAAAAGATGCAATGTGCTTATAAATGTATTGAATAGTTGAAATCAACTCAACTCAACTCCATTGAGTGTGTGCTTTGCAGTGAACATTCAGATCAGATGTGTGTGTGTGTGTGTGTGTGTGTGTGCGTGTGTGTGACTTCAGAAGTGGGTTAAAGTGTTGTGCATGTGTGTTTCTGCTTTTACGAGGGCAGAAATAGCCGTAGTGCAGGCTGTTCTGTCACTCCCGCAGACTGACAGCGAGGACTGGGGACACTTTTAACTCCAGCACCTGTTGTTTGTGCACGTTTGTTCAAAACTCCCATTAAATCTGCCCGGCAACACCGATCTCAGAGTCTCAAAGGGGGAATTTTCCTGCAGTTGGTGCTGCTTGTGGATCACAAACTTTCTTGGGATTAAAAACATATTGAGTGATGATTGTGTCCGATTTCACGTTGGAAATTTTTGCCTTTAGAGCAAGAGTTGTCAGTATAATGGTGTTAAATGATTGACAGATGAATAAAGTTTCTCTTTCTTTCTTTTGTAAATAAAGAAATGTAAATAGAGGGAGACGAACAAAAAAAACAAACAGAGTGAATCGTCTAAATGACTAAAGTAAATGCATGAGTATGTGTGGGAGAGCGTATGAGTGTTTCCCATCAGTGGGTTGCGGCTGAAATGACATCCGCCACATAAAATGAATGCCAGAGTAATTGGTGGTTCGTTACGCTGTGAAGGACCATCATAAATCAGGGACTAAGCCAGTACTAAGATAGTAAGTGAGGGAGTGACTTTTGTATGATTTGCATTGTTATGCCTACAATGAGCTGCATCAATTCTTTGCGTTAATTCTTTGGAAATGGACTTTCATAGATTTTAGAGGAACCACAGAGTGTTGAGTTCTGAAACTCGCAGGATGTTTTACAGTATTGTGACCTTTTAGATGTCAAAAGATCAATTTTGCTCCCTTTCAATAATCCTCCTCATCAGTGAGTTAAAGTTGCCATGAGACAGAAGTTAAGATTGTCCTTTTTACTCTATCATGATGTACATCAACATAAACATGAGAAAAAAAGTATGGCAGGGCATGATTTTGTATTTAAGAACCATATGGATTGTTAGAAGATGTGTGTTTTGGGTGAAGAATGACGAATGGATAAAGGCAGAGCAGAAACGAGATACGCCCTGACATCCCGCTCTAAAGGACTGATAGACCCACCCCAAAGGACAGATAGTCCCACCCTAAAACACTGATAGCTCCACCCTAAAGGACTGATAGCTCCACCCTAAAGGACTCATAGCTCTGCCCTAAAGGACTGATTGCTCCACCCTAAAAGACTAATAACTCCACCCTCAAGCACTGATTGCTCCACCCTAAAGGACTAATAGCTCCACCCTAAAGCACTGATTGCTCCACCCTAAAGGACTAATAGCTCCACCCTAAAGCACTGATAGCTCCGCCCGAAAGAACTAATAGCTCCGCCCTAAAATACTGATTGCTCCACCATAAAGGACTAATAGCTCCACCCTAAAAGACTGATAACTCCACCCTAAAGGGCTGATAGCTCTGCCCTAAAAGACTGATAGCTCCTCCCTAAAGGGCTGATTGTTCCGCCCTAAAAGACTGGTAGCTCCGCCCTAAATGACTAATAGCCCCACCCCAAAAACCTGATAGCTCCACCCTAAAAGACTGAAAGACATGCCAAGAGACTGATATCCCCACCCTTAACAATGACTGACAGCCCCACCCTATACAATGACTGACAGCCCCACCCTAAAGGACTGATAGCTCCTCCCTAAAGAACTAATAGCTCCTCTCTAAAGGACTGATAGTCCCACCCCTAAAAGACTAGTTGCTCCGCCCTTAATAACTAATAGCTCCACCCTAAAGGACTGATAACCCTGCCCTAAAAGACTGATAGCTCCTCCCTAAAAGACTGATAGCTCCTCCCTAAAGGGCTGATAGCTCCTCCCTAAAGGGCTGATAGCTCCTCCCTAAAGGGCTGATAGCTCCTTCCTAAAGGACTGAGAGTCCTGCCCTAAAGGACTGATAGCTCCTCCCTAAAGGACTGATAGCTCCTCCCTAAAGGACTGATAGCTCCTCCCTAAAGGACTGATAGCTCTTCCCTAAAGGGCTGATAGCTCCTCCCTAAAGGACTGATAGCTCCTCCCTAAAGGACTGATAGCTCCTCCCTAAAGGGCTGATAGCTCCTCCCTAAAGGGCTGAGAGTCCTGACCTAAAAGACTGATAGCTCCTCCCTAAAGGACTGATAGCTCTTCCCTAAAGGACTGATAGCTCTTCCCTAAAGGGCTGATAGCTCCTCCCTAAAGGACTGATAGCTCCTCCCTAAAGGACTGATAGCTCCTCCCTAAAGGGCTGATAGCTCCTCCCTAAAGGGCTGAGAGTCCTGACCTAAAAGACTGATAGCTCCTCCCTAAAGGACTGATAGCTCTTCCCTAAAGGACTGATAGCTCCTCCCTAAAGGACTGATAGCTCCTCCCTAAAGGGCTGATAGCTCCTCCCTAAAGGGCTGAGAGTCCTGACCTAAAAGACTGATAGCTCCTCCCTAAAGGGCTGATAGCTCCTCCCTAAAGGACTGATAGCTCCTCCCTAAAGGACTGATAGCTCCTCCCTAAAGGGCTGATAGCTCCTCCCTAAAGGGCTGAGAGTCCTGACCTAAAAGACTGATAGCTCCTCCCTAAAGGACTGATAGCTCTTCCCTAAAGGGCTGATAGCTCCTCCCTAAAGGACTGATAGCTCCTCCCTAAAGGACTGATAGCTCTTCCCTAAAGGACTGATAGCTCCTCCCTAAAGGACTGATAGCTCTTCCCTAAAGGACTGATAGCTCCTCCCTAAAGGACTGATAGCTCCTCCCTAAAGGACTGATAGCGCCTCCCTAAAGGACTGATAGCTCTTCCCTAAAGGGCTGATAGCTCCTCCCTAAAGGACTGATAGCTCCTCCCTAAAGGACTGATAGCTCCTCCCTAAAGGACTGATAGCTCCTCCCTAAAGGACTGATAGCTCCTTCCTAAAGGACTGAGAGTCCTGACCTAAAGGACTAATAGACCCACCCCTAAAAGTCCTAAAAGAACACTACTGTATGGATCTAAACGTTCTCTTTGTCTTTTTATATTCGATGGCGCCTGTAACGCTGCATCATCAGCGCTGTGTTTCCAGCATGTGGTTCAGTGTGGATCTGCATAACCTGCTGATCTCCCGCAGTGTGTGTGTGTGTGTGTGTGTTTAACGTCTGCTCTCTGTGTCTCTCAGGATCCCTGCTCATTATGTGTACCCGCAGGCGTTTGTTCAGCCCAGTGTGGTGATTCCTCACGTTCAGGCGTCCTCCAGCTCTCCCGCAGCCGCTGCGACTCCGTATCTGGACTACAGCAGCGCGGCGTATGCGCAGTACACCACTGCCGCAGCAGCAGCCGCAGCGTATGAGCAGTATCCGTACGCCGCTTCGCCCGCCGCCACCGCAGGCTACGTCACCACCGCCGGCACCGGCTACGGCTACATGCAGCAGCCACTTGCATCTCCAGCGCCCGCAGCCACCGCCGCCACATTCGGCCAATACCAGACGCAGACAGAGCGCATGCAGTGAGAGACGCAGAGACTCATCTTCATCTTTTATGTGTAGTATTTAATATTTATTGCAGAAGGGAACTCAAGCATAATGCATCGATGTGGAGAATATTACGGGGAAAACCTTTTAGAGTGTTGATTCTGTCATTGCAACATCAAATTTGACTTATTTAGAGTATTCATGCTGTGAAATGCTCAAAATCTGGGTCATGTTTGGATTTAGAGATGAAATACTGCAATAACAGCAGTGCGCAAGAATAATAATGATAATGCTTTACATAATTTGCATTGATCATAGTAAAAGTATTCAATATTTATTACAGAAACAAAAGCTAAAGCTTATCAAACAGGATGCATCGTGTAGAAATCATCAGGAAAGACCTTTAAAGTGTTATTTATTTTCATTGACACGTAAAATTAGATTTGTTTTTAGTGTTGATAATTTATGCTGTGAAAAGGTTAATGGCAAAATAAATTTACAGCATGATGTATAACAATAAATGACGTTATAATAAGGTTTTCTATGTTATTAGCATTAATAATAATGATAGTATTCGATGTGTATTGCAGAAAGGAAATCAAACTTGATGCATCATTTGGAAAATATCGGGAAAGACCTTTATAGTGTTGTTTTTGTCATCGCAACAAATTTAGATTTTGGCAAAATAATACATGCATAAAAAAATGTAATTATACATTTTCGATGCAATTAGCATTAAAAGTAATAATAATGATAATAAAAATATGATATGTATTGCAGAAAGGAAATTAATCAGCATACATCATTTAGAAAACATCAGGAAAGACCTTTACAGTGTGATATTTTTCCATTGCAACGTAAAATTAGATTTGATTTTAGTGTTGATAATTTATGCTGTGAAAAGGTTAATGGCAAAATGAATTCACAGCATGATGTATAACAATAAATGAAGTTATAATAAGGTTTTCTATGTTATTAACATTAATAATGATCATATTATTTAATATGAAGCGAACAAATAAAATCAGACATGTGGCATTATTTGGAAAATATTAGTAAATATCTTTTATAGTGTCGTTTCTGTCATAACAACGTAGAACTTTGATAATTTATGTTGTGAACAGGTGGAAATCTGTATCATGTTTGGATTTAGAGGCACAATAATGCATTAACAGCAGTGCGCATGGATAATAAATCAGGAAAGGATTTTATAGTGTTATTTATTTTCATTGGCACATAAAATTAGATGTTGATTATTTATGCTGTGAACAGATAAATGGCAAAACAATAAATTCACAGTAGGATGCATAAAAATAAATGAAGTAATGATATGTTTTCTATGTTATTAGCATTCATAATAATGAAAGTATTCGATGTGTATTGCAGAAAGGAAATCAAACTTGATGCATCATTTGGAAAATATCGGGAAAGACCTTTATAGTGTTGTTTTTGTCATCGCAACAAATTTAGAATTTGGCAAAATAATACATGCATGAAAAAATTAGTGACATGATACATTTTCGATGCAATTAGTTTCAAAAATAATAATGATCATAATAATCATAGTATTTGATATGCATTGCAGAAATAAATTAAACAGGATACATCATTTAGAAAAGACCTTGCCAAATGACCTTAATAGTGTTGTTTTATCATTGCAACAAATTTAGAATTTAGCCAAATAATACATACAAATTAAATGGTACATTTTCGATGCAATTAGCATTAATAATAATAATGATAATAATAATAATAGTAATGAGAGTATTTGATATGTATTGCAGAAAGGAAATTAAACAGCATACATCATTTAGATTTTTATGAATGTTGATTATTTATGCTTTGTAAAGGTAAACGGCAATAAAATAATGAAATAATAATATGTTTACAATGTACTTAGCATTAACAATAACAGCAATATTTAATATGTATTGCAGAAGGAAAATTAAACATGATGCACCATTTAGAAAATATCAGGAAAGACCTTTATAGTGTTACTTTTGTTCATTGCAAAATGAAATTAGACTTTTAAATGTTAATTATTTATGCTTTGTACAGGTAAATGGCAATAAAATAAATGAAATATTAATATGTTTTTAAATAAGCAATAATAATAATATGATTTGTTAATGTGTCATTAATAAGTCATTTAAAAATATTGGGAAAAACCTTTATAGTGTTTGTTTTTTTTTTCATTGCAACATAAAATTAGATTTTTATTTTGATTATTTATGCTTTGAAAAGGTAAAATGCTAAATAATGCATTAACAGCAACATAAAAATATAAATGACATAATAAGTTTTCAATGGAATTACGATTAATAATAATAATAATATTATTTGATATTTACTGCAGAAGGGAATTTAAGCATGATGCATCATTTAGAAAATAACAGGATGACCTTTATAGTGTTATAGGTTTTCATTGCAACATAAAAGTAGATTTTGAAGTTTTGATTATTTATGCTTTAAAAGTTAAATGGCAATAAAATAAATGAAATAATAATAGGGTTATAATTAGCATTAACTGTTACAGCAATATTTAATATGTATTGCAGGAGAAAAATCAAACATGATGCATGATTTAGACAATATCGGGAAAGACCTAATAATAATAGTATTTAAAATGCATTGCAGAAGCAAAAGCTAAAGCTCATTAAACATAATGCATCTTTTAGAAAATATCATGACAATATTTTTATAGTGTTGTTTTTTTCATTACAATATAAATTTATACTTTTTATTTTGCTGTGAAAAGGTCACCAAACATCTTTTACCAAATATTGAGGAACATCATATGTTGTTTTGTCACTGCAACATGCATCATTTGTATTTATATTAAATAAAGCAACAATAATAACAACAATATTTAATATGTAATGCAGAAGGAAAATCAAGTGTAATGCATCGTTTAGAAAACACCTGGAAAGACCTTTATAGTGTTATTTTTTTCATTGCAACTTCAAATTTGACTTTTAAATTTTGATTATTCATGCTGTAAAAACATAAATGGCAAAATAATCCATTAACAGTAGCATGCATCAAAAATAAATGAAATAATAATATGTTTTCTATGTATGTAGCATTATTAATATTAATAGTATTTAAAATGTATTACAGAAATGGAAGCTAAAGCTCAGCGAACATGATGCATCATTTGGAAAATATCAGAAGAACCCTTTATAGTGTCATGTTTTTCATTGCAACATTAAATTATACTTTTTATTTTGCTGTGAAAGGATGAAAATCGGAATCATATTTGCATATAAGGTTAAAACAACAAACAGCAGGATACATGAAAATATATTGATTAATTAGTATCAGACTCACCAAACATGTTGCATCCTTTACAAACTATGGGGGGAAATCCTTAATAGTTTTGTTTTGTCATTGCAACATGCATCATTTGTATTTACATTAATTAATGCATTACCATTAGCATGCACAATACATAAATAGTGTAATAAGCATTTTTAATATCTTGAATTAATTATGATAATAATAGTATTTAAAGTTCATTACAGAAATGAAAGCTAAAGCTCATTGAACATGATGCATCATGTAGAAAATACCAGGAAAAACATTTGTAGTGTCGTTTTTTTATGGCAACATAAAATTATACTCTTTATTCTGCTGTGAAAGGGTGAAAATCTGAATCATATTCACATAAGGAGTTAAATTAATGCATAAAAGTCAATAAAATAATTAGTTTTGTACCAAGCTCATCAAACATGATGCATCATTTACAAAATATGTGGCAAAAAATAACCTTTATAGTGTCGTTTTCTTCATTGCAACATGCATTGTTTGTATTTACATTTAACACAAGCATTCATAATACATAAATGATATAATAAGCAGTTATATTATCTTGAATTAATCATGGTAATTATAGTATTTAATATTTCTTACTGAAGTGAAAGCTAAACTCATCAAACTTGATGCATCATTCTGCAAATATCTGGAAAAACCTTTCTAGTGTTATTTGTTTTGATTTCCACATGACAATGCTGATTATTTATGCTGTATTAAGACATTGAAATCTACTGCATTTAGTCATGCAATAAAAATTAATTCAATAATGTTTTCTACTTAAATAGCATTAAATTTAATAATAGTATTTCATAGTTAATAATAAAAATACATAATTAAGATGATTAAACAGCAAAATATTCAACAAAAGTTAAACGATCAGCTTTTTTTTTAGATCATAAATCACTGTTTTTTCTGTATTGTCATTTTTTTAGTGTTATTTTTTGTCACTGCAACACAAAATTAGACATGTTATTGTCATAAATCTCATTTCTGACCTGTGAAACTGCATCTGGATACTGTACTGTTGGACTAATGATTGTAAAACTACTTTATAAATGCTGATAAAGTGCCTTAAAACGTCAGAAAGAGTCAAGAAATTATGGATTTATTATGAATATTTATTCTGTGCCTTACTGTAACTGATAGTCAGTTTGCAAATCTGTCAGAAGAGTTACTGAAAAGGTGACTTTTATATTTATAGCTAATTTTTTGTTCAAAATAAAAGCCCTGAGCTGCACTGAACACTGTTCTTCAGTATCACCGTGCCTTTATTATGGTTCATTAATCCCATTGAGCTGGATTTGTTGCTGTTTTTCCTACTTAATGTTAATGTATGTAAATTAACTTTTTTTTATTTAATATTTATTACAGAAACAAAAGCTAAAGCTTATCAAAACAGGATGCAAACATCAGGAAAGACCTTTATAGTGTTATTTATTTTCATTGACACGTAAAATTAGATTTTTTCAATGTTGATAATTTATGCTGTGAAAAGGTTAATGGCAAAATGAATTTACAGCATGATGTATAACAATAAATGAAGTTATAATAAGGTTTTCTATGTTATTATTAGCATTAATAATGAACATATTTAATATGAAGCGCAGAAAGAAAATCAGACATGATGCATTATTTGGAAAATATCAGTAAATATCCTTTATGGTGTCATTTCTGTCATAACAACATATAATTTTGATAATTTATGCTGTAAAAAGGTGAAAATCTGTTTGCAAATCTGTCAGAAGAGTTACTGAAAAGGTGACTTATATTTATAGCTAATTTTCTTTTCAAAATAAAAGCCCTGAGCTGCACTGAACACTGTTCTTCAGTATTAACTTG